TTTCCCTGTAGCGATATTGACTGCATGCACATTCTCATTGATAGCAACACGATTGCTGGTTTTGATCAAAATACTTACGAATTTCCAAACTGTTAATTAAATGCAACTTTTATAAGTCTTTCATTGTAATTTAGTAATTTTGTTTTCAAAGTATGTAATGATACTGCTGCATTGTTGAATATAGATTTTTATTATTTTATTGCTAAAAACAATTTTGATCAAGACATGCAATCAAAGTTTCGAAGAGTTGACTTGAATGATTATACAAAACGTACAAGTATAATATTTGAATAAGATAAGAATGATTATACAACGTTTGATTACGTACAAGTATAATATTTGATTCAATTATTACATTCAATTTTTAAATATTAACATGTTCGACAAATTCAGTGTTCAAGCTCCTGAACATTTTTTAATATTTCATTTTATAAGTTTTGTTGAAATCTTTTACAGCTTTTTCCAATACTTTGTATATTGTTCAAGTCAACTGTTTTGTTTGTGTCTCGATTAATTGTAAAGGTTTCACATATTTTATTGAGTCATATAAACAATTTTGATTTGTTTAATATCATTTCAATTCATCGATTAATAATTCATTCGAATATTTTTTTTTCTAAGTCCAAATTTTCTGATTATAATTCTTTCGAATATTTTTTTTTTCTAAGTCCTTTCAGATAATTTTTTTTTTCTAAGTCCAAATTTTCTGAAACCTTTTCGATTAAGACAGACGAGTTATTTTTGCATGCTATATCATCCCAAAGCCAACATTCGAATGAATGAGGCTCACGTTGAATATTTCACAACGAGAAAATTTTATTGGGGCAAAGTTAAAATTTTAACTAAGTCCCAGTAATTTTTTCTCGTTGTGAAAATTTCAACGTGGACTTCATTTCATTCGAGTGTTGGTTTTGGGAATTGGTGTGAGGGAACACTAAAAAACATAAAAAAGTTTCAACGTTGAACAGAAAAGAGAAAAATTGATCTGGGACTTAGGGGGTTTTTTTTTTGGTTCTCCACCTCCCCTTTCCTCCTCCTCCTCCTTTTTTTTTCCCATTTTTCCGCTTTTTTCACATTTTTTTTCCTTTTTTGGTGTTTCTTTTGAATGGTTTTTGGGTTCGGCATTCATCTTCGGCAATGTCCCACTGTGTGTAACCTCTCGCATCATGGACCTCATGTAGACCACCACCTCGTGTGTATTTGTTTCAGGATCTCCCTCTGCGCCTGCCAACAGCCATTCACCAGCACTGCTCCATTTTTTCTGCTTCGGAGTTCCTTGTCGTCGCCTTCAGCCGGACTCGATCCGTCTCACCTTGTGCCTGCCTCCAGAGTTATTTCACCGAGTATGCGGTCCCTTAAACCACTCGGCTATTTAAGTTATTGATGATAAAAGTTATTTTTATTCCTATATTGTATTAATATTGAATTTGAATAAAGAATATGTCTCATACTCATCTCTCTTATTCATCATCTGCCTCTACCCTCTCTTTCCCCAGTGCTTCCTCTTTTTTTTTTTTCTCCATGTATCTCTCTTACAGTCAAGTGCGAATCTTGAGTTTTTTATTTTTCAGAAATATTCTAAGTGTCAAGGTCGAAATGTGCCACCTGAATTTAATATTTTGAACTAATATTTGACGATTCCGAAAAACTAGGATTCGAATTTTTCAGCCGAGTCTTTGGGAATCGATCCGAGGGACCTTTAGCCAGTCAACGTGATGTCGACGACTAAACGCTCTCGGCTATCCGATTGATACAGAAGACTAATTTTTTTGGAAACGCTTTTGTCTAATTCGGGAAGGATTGTTGAAGTTTGACAGCTCCAAGTATTTTGTAAAGGCTTCTGTATCAGGCGCTCCACTCTAGTTATTTAAATTTAATCAATCCGCCATCTGAATTTATTTCTTTGGACTAACTTTTGATCATTTTGAAAAACTTTACACCAGTTATTTTTCATCCACATACATTTACTTGTTCTGGGATCGAACCTACGCACTTCCAACTACCACGACGACCACTAAACGCTCTTGGCTATTTAGTCGTTTGATAGGGACTATTTTTAATAGGAATGCCTTTTGTCTATTACGAGGATCTAAAGATTTTTGAAAATTTAATATCGTTATTACGTCTCGAACTCGCACTGTTCTACACATTCTAATGCAACTAATTCTTATCTATTATCTGAAGATTCGAACTACAGCACCATTGGGCTGGATAACCGCTGTTGCTACTTAACGACCTCGGCTATTCATTTCTTAAGCGAAAAAAATTTAATGAGAAAGTCTTTTGTCTAGTTTGAGGTTCTGAACTTTATGAAAAATAAATGTTATTCTCTTTTTTATCGTTTAGGAGATTCGAACTATAGAGTGCATCACCTGACAACTGCTACTAAACGGCCTTGTCCATGCAGTCGTTACACAAAACATGCGTTTGAGTTCTCATAACGACTTCTATTTTGTCTTTAATATCTTATTAATTATCCATCCAACCACAACTCATCGTTTATTTTCTTACAGCTGCATTCAAGTACACTGAAGGACGCACGATCTGCTCTGGACAACTGCATTGAGATCACATCATCAGGATTGGGATTCGAACTGGTTGACCCTGGACTTCTGAACTGGTGAAATAAGTGAAGTCCTTTAGCCGTTTCGGCTACCGAGATGCAAAATGGCCGTCGACTATATGAGAGGACACTGAGAATGGATTTCTGGCAAATGTGGGGGTGAAAAAATACAAGAAAAAGTAAAATGTCTCGAAGGGGTTGCAAAATGATGGCATACGATTCTTCAGGGTTGTATGGATTTCGAGCGGGGGGTTCTAGGGGGGAGAATTTTGTCCGTTTTTTGCTCAGAACACCCCAAAATGATAATTTAAAAATTGCACATGTATTTGGGGTTGTTCAAACCCTAATGTTCTCTTTTACATATTAGCAAGAAATTACATATACAATTAGCAAATATTGAAGAAATAGTTTATGAATATAATAATTAAATTGTCAAAATTGATTTTCATACAATATATAATTTAATTAAGTGTGTTTGACCTTATAAAAATTGGACTTAAAATTATTATTATTATTATTATATTTTTTTATTATTATATTTTTTAATATTATATTTATTATTATTATTATATGTATTAAATATATATTTGCTTAATATTGTGTAAACTACGTTATGTTGATTTAAATAAATATATAAATTAAAATGCATAAATTTCTTTTATTTATATTTTGTATATTTAATAAAATTTGGTATATGATTTAATTTGTATTTTATAAAGACTTAAAAACAGTCTATGTAATATTTATCTTTTTCAGTATTGTCTATTTTTCAAAATTAAATAATGTATTTATTAAGCAGTGTATGGACTTCCTAATAAAATTGGTACAGTCACCTTAAAATTGACAAGGAGTCGTCGGTGCTCGCAATGATCTCTCAATATACTGATATATAACTGGCGATGGACTCCCTAAACTACACACGTATTCATGAAATCACCACTACATATATAGCAATACACACACACATACACAATGCGTATATCTTTTCCCTTAGATGACATAGACGCTAGCGCTACTCTAAACTCGGTGGCGTGAGGTCGAACTAAAATCTGCGCCAAATTCAACTCGGTCCACATTTATATATCGTCCATACAAATTTATAATAGATTTATATATATATACATGACGACGTTCCCTATAATTATATATCGTGTATATATGGAGTGTATAGGGTTGCATATACAGCCAGGCGTTCGAAATTTATAAAGGACTCACCTGGGATATGAATGAGATTCTTATAGGAATTTATATATGGCTCATATAATTATAGAGGTGTATATATATGAGAAATGTCTATGAAAATCCGTGGATATCTGTTCATGGATTTATATACTGGCATTTATATATGGGACTGTTGTTATATTATAATTATATATATCGTGTATATATGAAGTGTAACGGGTTGCATATACTGTTAGGGGTTTGAAAACAA